AAACTGTTCCGGAAGGAGAATGTTATTTTCCTCGACAAACTTGAGCAAACGATTGAGAATGAGTTTCTCGAACAATTTGCTCAGCGCTGAAAGGAGGCTGATTGGTCTGTAGCTTGAAGGCAATGTTGGATCCTTACCGGGTTTGCGGATTGGTATGATTTTTGCTACTTTCCAGATACTTGGAAAGTAGTGCAGTTCCAAACATCTGTTGAAGATAGCGGTTAGAAGAGACTGCACTTTCATGCTGAGTCTCTTCAAGATCAAGTTGAATATACCGTCAAACCCGGGAGCCTTCATGTTCTTGGTGCATTTCAGCGCTGAGCAAATTTGTTGTACTGTAATCATATCCGCCGGAGGCACAACACAAGGGGAGGCATCTAGGTTTTGAACGCATTGCGCAACCTGATCTTCGAGCGGACTTTGGATATTCGAGCCAAGCAAATGCGATGAAGCGACATGCTCGCCGATCGCATTTGCTTTCTCCTGTGGGGTGATTAAAAGCCGATCGTCATCATTTTCGACTCTGAGAGGTGGAATGGGTTTGGGATGAGTTTTCAGGACCTTGGCTACCTTCCAGAATGGTCTGGAGCGGTCGTCCAGATTCTGGACAACACGCCCGAAACTTTCATTTCGGAGTGAGTCCATTCTGGAAGCAATCTGTCTGTTCAGATCAGCCGTTTCACGTTTTTTGCCCAGATCTCCAGTCCTCTGAAACTGGCGTCTACGAACATTTCTCAGGCGAATCAAAAGTTGGGTGTGGGAATCAATGGCAATAAACTTACCCCTCACAGGAACTCGTCGGACGCACGCCTCGTCAGCCACGGTTATGGCTTGATGGAGTCCCTCCAACACTCGATCGATGTCCTCCACGGTGTCAAGCGGCGGGTTGTCGATGATGTGCCTGTCTACCACGCGTCCAAACTGGGCCCAGTTAACGCGATGGTAGTCCTTGCGCAGACTTGAAGCAGGAGCCACGTTGCAGCCCAGTTCAGCCACCACCGGTTGGTGGTCGGAGCTGAGTTCGTTCAAGGCTACCGGCTTGGACAAGCCGATATTTGTCATGTACAGGTCTAGCGTCGATGGGTTGCCCGCCGGTGAGATGAATGTTGGTTCATCCGAAAACCAAACGGAGTACAGCCCATGCTGTGAGTGGTCGAACAGGAGACGACCGTTCTGGTTCTGCTGGTAGTTCCACCAGGCCTCATGGCGAGCATTCAGATCTCCTCCAACGACGAAGCGGGAACCGTTACGGGTGATGGTGGACAGGTCCTTCTTGAATTTAGCCGCTAGTCCACTGCTGGCGGCACACTGTCGAGGGCAGTAGACGGCGATGAACTGGACGTATCCAGTCGACGACTCCACCTCCACACCAAGGGCCTCGATGATAGAGGTGCGGATATGGGACAGAGTGTGGTATTTTATTCCTTTCTTGACGACGACCGCAACACCACCCCCCCTGGAGCTGGTGCGATCAAGCCGGATAATGTTGTGGTCAGGCAACCAGAAACTGTCACCGGACTTTAGATGGGTCTCGGTTAGAAGGCCCACGTCGATGCTGTGCTTGCGGAGGAAGTCGGCAAGCTCAATCTTTTTTGCTCTTACAGAGCAAGCATTCCAGGTGACGATAGTTAGCGGTTTAGACGCCATACTGGATGATGAACTTACCGAGCACTTGGATCTGTTCGGGCTTATTGCGGCACTTACGAAGAGCACCGGACATGTTGACGAAAATTTCCATCAGTTCATCCGCTGAGAACAGATCGGGGTTGTTGTTTTGTCCTGTTGGTTGTCTCCAGAATCCAGGGGGGGATGGAGAGCTTTGGCCAGCAGAATCACCGGAAGCTTCTTGAGGAGGGGCGGGTTGCACCCGCGAATTCGCTTGCCTTTGCTGGGGAGCACGAAGAGGCGGAAAATCCTCCGTCCTGAATGATGGGGTTTTGTCCTTCTTGCGTCCTGGTTGATTGGTGCTTGACGCCAGCTTTCGGATGCGTTTGAAGTCCTCGCGTTTGGAGCACTGTCTGTCAGAGCCTTGATGTGTACCACCACAGTTAGCGCATTTTATCGCCACGGCTCCATCCGCAGGGCAGTTGGAAGTGGCGTGTTCTTGAGCGCAGTTGCTGCAGCGTGGCTTGATGTTGCAGTTGCGGGTACCGTGTCCAAAATTGAGGCACCTCTGACACTGCGTTACGTCACGATGACCGCCACGGTATGGCTCCCACCGTACGATGATGGAGTAGATCGATCGGATGGCTTGTAGCGCATTGAGCGTCACCGTCCCTTTCTGGAAGTGCACCAGGAAAAGACAATCCGGGTACGTTTTCACGTTTTCATCTCTCCTTGTCATTCGGAAGACAGCGATTGGGGCTAGCTTGTACCGGTTGATTTCGGCTTCGACCATCTTGGGGTCGAAGTTTGGTAGACCCCTGATGACTACCTTGAAGGGCTTCTCACCGGGGATGTCGTGCGTGAAGAATTCCGCCTTGGTATCCTTCAGATATTTCACGGCCACTTCGTACTCCGCTTTGGTTCGGAGCATCACCTTGGTGCCGATCCTGCCGAGCTTAAACTCAGCTGCAACGCCCAGCGATGAAAGATCGCCAATCAGCGTGTTGAGTGGGACTTGCTTCACCACCAGTGGAGGAAGCTTCATTTTTGCTGCACTCGGGCTGGCAGCAGTTTCGTTGTCGACGGCGTCGCCGAAATCACCAATGACGCTGACGTTCGTCGCGGTGGCATCGTCCCGTCCACTCGCACCATCGGACTGGCCTTGATTTTTCTTCCTCTTCTTAGACCGCTTCACCGTGGCTGAGGTGGGATTCCCTACATCGGTGGGAAGAGTAGCGTACCTATTCGAAATAGGTACACTCAAGCTACCCTCACCGCTGTTCTTCTTCTCCGTTTTCTCTCGGAGCCTGCTCCGGGAGCGCTGTCTTCCCATCACACGAAGCGACCGACACTACTGACGACGCGATTAAACTGCGAATGTTTGGAACAAACTAGAAACTTTTGAACAACTCGACAGAGCGAGCAAAGACCGAACTGTACTGCTTGACGTTCAAGCAGCTGATGATGGGTGAGCCAAAAGCGTAGTTAGCAACCTGTTATATAGACAACCAGCTCTGCCGGTCCATCTCGCTTCCCATTGGCTATATACAGTCATGGTGATGCAGCACCGACAAACCGACATGATGGCTAGAACCGAGACGGCTAATACATAGGTGCCACAGTCGGAAGAAGTGTTAGTTTGTTTACTAAAATGAACCATGCCCATTTTGTTATGGCATGTTTGCTATAAGAAATGCACCTCGTGTTTATTAGCGAATTTCACATCACAGATTGATTAATTGAGTAGGAAATCAGTTTGGCACGGCATTTGTGACCAGCATACACCTTCCGGTAGTATGAAACAGGTTAAAAACTGTTCAAATCCGCAGTTAAAAAATTTTGTTTTGAATTTCTGTATAGCAAAATAGTGAACATTTCGTAAACATTAACGGCAAAGAACTCACCAACACTGCGAGACCGTAAGTTCCTGCCCACCTGTCATAAAACCGTCTTGGGCTAGAACAAAAACTCACAAAATTGCTACCCAAAAATTCATACTTAAGGTTCAATTTACTTTGATGCTTTTTGGAAAATTTCAAAAGCAGTTTTTTCCGATGCATTATTTCAGATTGCAAAAAGCTCGCACTATTCGATTCCTTTTGATATTTTACACAAAATGACGCGAGCTTTTTGCAATCTAAAATAATAAGTCGAAAAAACTGCTTTTGAATTTTAAAAAAATGCATCATAGTAAATTGAACCTTAAGTACCTTAAAACACTAGCTCCACTTGTATTCGCGATCACACCTTACCTGAGCTGATAGATGTATTGGTAAAGAAGCATTTTGACAGAAAAATTTCGAACACTCTGAAAGAAAACTACATATTTACGTGTAAAAAAGTGAAGAATTTAATCAAGCATCGTTGAACAGTTGTAATATATAAATATAAAAAACCTGAGACGTTTCTCATTAGAATCATTTTTATTCCCTATTATTCTTGAATCATGAAAAGGAACTTTTTCATAAATACAACAAGTTTATTAAGGGCAAACATATTTAGTTTCAGTATTTTTTCTGCCTTCATTTTATACACATTTGATTAGTATGCATTCAGTTTGCAATGTTTACATTCATACCTCATCGATATTGTTATTGTTGCTGTACAGATAACATCAAGGCCCAGTTTTCTCCGGCGTCTTCCGTTCTTGGTTGAAGGACATCGGAGAAATACCGGTGGGTAGACGGTGCCACCTACTGTAATTACGGAAGGAAGGCTGTAACACAGATTAGATCGATACGACGGAGGAGACTAGCAGACGACCAGGCATGTGATACTAATTAGCATTTTTATTCACTGATTGGTTTCCAACTTATTGGTTTCAAAAAGGATATCCTTATTTTGATTTGACGCCTAGTGGTAAGCACATACGACGTGCTTTTCCCTTCCTTTTAAACATTTTATTTTTACCGTCGATGGGTGAGGACTTAAGTTTTTTGAGGAACCTTTGGATGAGGGTGTTAAAAATTTTATCAACTAATAAATTGAAGCATCTTTGACAAACATCTGTTTCGAATAAACGGTGACTGATATGTTTCTTCAAGCGCGTGGTGATGGTTTTGATGCAAGTATCTTTTAAACTTTTGCTTAAAAGCTGCAAGGCATAAAACACCAATTCGATACAAATTGCAGCTTAGTAAAATGAAGGACCGGCCATACACTAACTGCTTAGTCTTACAAAAGTTATAAGCATCATCATCCAGAAGATTTTCATTTTGTTCAGCCTTCAAACTCTTTAAATATGTTTTGTGATAAAGCTTCCGAGCCGCTGCGCCTGATATGTACACAAGCGCATTTATTTCCTTTACAGGAATTTCCATTGGAGTTGATACATCCAAAGGAGTGAATTTGTATACATGGCACACCTTGTCTTGGTCAGAATTATTTAACGTCACGCCCGTGTCCAGTTCGGTTGTTGACAACAACGGCTCTGAATCGTCCTTTTCACAATGTTTTCCTTCTCTGGGACAACTGCCGGCTTCAATACAAGCGTATTTGAATGCCGCCTCAAACTGTAAACTATCTGGGGTGTCGTTACTCCCACAGCGCCGTCGAATTTCCGAAAAAAGGCTTTCGAGGCAATCCTGATTGATGTTGTTAGTGCAAAGATATTTGCAGTCGAATCTTATGACGAGTTCACTCCAGAGCAATCGCAATACGTTAATGTTATGAATAAATCCTCCGACATAATTTGGGTGTCTCTGCTTTGCCGTTAGAGCTCGTGACGCTGCCTAAGAATAAAACCAAATGTCCTTAGTAGGACGGCATCTAAACCTTACAAATGCTTACCTTAGATATGTCCAAGCACAAAATGCTTGTGAAAAACAGTTTCTCCAGCGATACTTTTATCGATTCTAGCAACTCTCAATGACACGATCGCTCCTTAAGTGCACTTTTATAAGGCTGTAAAATAATTGAACCTGTGAAATGTATGTGTTCATGATTTAAAGTTAAAATTTACCTTCGAGCAATTTTCTTGTCGGCTGTTGAATGCGTCGAATAGAAGATCATGTTTGATAATAAAGTTGAACTCGGCCCAGAATTTGAATAGTAAATGAGAGCGCTGGCTACAGATTGACTTAGTGTTCTCGTGGCCAGTGAGACGTTCATCGGTGAAAAAGGAGGGAGTTTGATGTGCTTTTCAGTTAACCTGGGTTCTAATCGGGGATTGGCAAGCGAATCAACTTTGTGCAACTTTACTATGTCCTCAAAGCTGGCTATTTCATTTTCAAAAACGGTATTATGTTTTTTCAGCATGTTACGTGCGTTTTTGATAAGATGCGGAGAGTCCCACATCACGTACACATTGCAACCATTAACGGAGAAGTAGGGCTTTTCGATTGTGACTCCAGCTTCCTTAAACATTTTCTGATTGGTAGCAAACTGATCCATAACCAATATCAGCGGATACAGTCCTGCTTCTCTTACGGAATGAATAGTTTTCTCAATGATTTTCATCTGCTGTTCGCTACCTAGCGAGTTATGCGTTAGAAAATAACCCAAGCCCTGTAAATGAAGATATGACGTAACACATTTTATGTAAAAATATTGATATGATAAGAAATGTTGTAGAAGGCTCGGTAGAAGGTTACTTGCCCCCTTATATTACCTGCTTGAACTTAGTGAACACTCTCCTAACCATCACGGTGACCGCTTCTGTTGCCAAATATCGAGGATTGTTCTGTTCGATTTTTCGATCAAAGCCATCGTCCGGAAAACCATGCAATTCATCACCTTTTGCCATGTAACGCTGGTTTTACTTGCATCCCATCTATAGCTAGAACTACCACGCGTTATTTTTCAGAAAACACACTAACCTTCAATTTAACTTGTTCCAGGATAGCTTTGTTTGATCCTGGGCCAATTTGAATGTCCAGCGTTTGATTGTGCGTTTAACTGGCAAGCACATAACTTTTATTTTTGCATCATACGATAAACCCGGGGCCCACATAGATACGATGATAACGCGAATTTCTTAAGCTCTGCATTGTACCTTCTTCCTTTAGGCTTTTTTGTGGAGTTTTTCAAGCTGTTGTAAATAGCTGGATTTTGCTTCAGTCTTTTCAATAGAGTTTTATTTAGACGAGCATTTTTTCGGACCTGCTTCAGCTGATCATTTAGGCTCTTGGTCTTTCTACGCTGGGATTGAATTATGAGGCTTCGCCGGTCGCACTTCCTCTGACATGCACGAAGTTGTTCCTTTAATTGCCTGACAGCAGCCTTTTGCCTTGAGTTTTTCTCCCTCTCCACCTTCAACATTGCTTTTAATGAAGTTATTGTTGGTGCTTCCATATCGTTTGGAATCCCGTTGAAATCATCGGATGGTATCATCTCATCGATGTAATCAGCTTCCTTGGACAACTCAACATTTTCTGGGCTGTTTGGTTCTACACTTCCATCACTTCCGATGAATTCCAGATACTCTACGTTGCAATAGTGCTCCTCCAGGTCCTGATCCAAGTGTTGGTCTACATGGGGATGGCACTGGCAGTTGGGTCCCGTTCTTTTATCTACCGATATAGTTGGAATCGCACCAATCTTCAGGCTGTAAAGATTTCTATTTATGATAAAATAATTCGTTTTTAATAAATTTTTATCTTACCCTCTGTCATGTCTTAATGGATCGCGAAATGACTCATCAGGAAAATGATTAGAACAGATAATTTTCCTACGAAGGGCAAAATTGCACCCAGCTCCAGCAACTTTCAAAGCAGAGTAAACCAAAATGAGCAAATATAGTTATATCAGCTGGAAAAGTGTCCACTGGCAAATACTTACGTTTCAATGTTGCAGGGAAACTTGTAAAACGATTTGCTGACATTTCGCACATTATGTTTTATTAAAACAGTTGCAAACTTCGCAAAACCGGCCCATTGTCAATACTTTGGAAACTTTCCACGGTAGTGCAGTGGATGCCTGGTGTTGTTTTGTTTATGCTATGTCATTATAAATTTGACAGTTGCGATCACTCGAAATTCAAATTGACCGTTACATATTTTCGGTTACGGTCCAAAAACGAGTGTCACGTCGGTTTGTCGGTGGATGCAGCTTTGTCGATATTGGGAAATTGCCGTAAAAGCTCTACGCAGATGTTGCCACCAGAGATGAACTAGCCTAAGGCTAAAAATCTCTTAAATAAAGTCTAAAAAAAAAAGATGTTGCCACTGCATGATAATGATAATGTTGACAGGCTACCTAGCAAATTCATGAAAATGATTTATTAAATTTCATCAAACCTACAAAACATCCTTTCAATACATCTTTCTAATGGTGTTAGGAAAACTTCATTCCAATCAGACTTCGGTGCATCTTTGAGTTTTCCAGTTGGATTTTAACACAAAATATTCTTTTTTAATGAATGCTCATTTTCATGAATTTGCTATGTAGCCTGTCAACATTATCATGGTGGCTACAGCTGCGCAGTGATGCCATGGTCTGAGAAGGTTCTGCGTGATAACATCCAGGGTATTACTAAGCCTGCCATACAACGTCTGGCTCGACGTGGTGGTGTCAAGCGTATCTATGAGGAAACCCAAGATGTGCTGAACGTGTTCCTAGAAAATATGATCCGTGATGCCGTCACCTACACTGAACACCCCAAGCGCAAAACCGTCACGGCCATGGATGTCGTCTACACTCTGTACGGTTTCGGAGGTTAAAACTTATCACCAACGTAACAAAACGAGTACAGAGAGTACAGACTAGAAAATCGAACACAAATTTCGTAGTCCTACGTCAACAATGACGTTAATCTATCCAGTGGGACAAACTTAACGAATTTCAAAGTTGATACGTGTTTTGGAATGTACCAATAGCGAACCATAGCGTACCTTCAAGGATTTTGAACGTACCTCAAAGCTTCCCGGAAAACCCGTGTCCCGTTGGATCGACATACGATTTCAGCAATGACCAAGTCGATCTACCAAATTTCTACGGAAATGTGACGAACTAAATGTTTACATTACGAATCTGTAATTCACTTTTAACGTACCTCTTATTTTCACTTAAATGCTTAAACTAAACATTTTTAATCGGTTTATATATGAATTCTGGGCACGGAATTGGATTCCTCGGTAAATTTTAGCCAGATTTCATATAAAAAAAAAACATTATACTTAAGCGCATTCTAGCCAATTTGAGGACCATCACAGTTTTTTTTATTTGCATACTCTAAAAATATACTAATTTTGAAACTGTACTAAAAAAACTGTTTTGGTTCTCAAATTGGCTAGAATGCACTTAAGCATAATGTTTTTTATATGAAATCGGGCTATAATTTACCGAGAAATCCAATTGCGTGCCTAGAATTCATATATAAACTGATTTAAAATGTTTAGTATAAGCATTTGAAAATAAGAGGTACGTTAAAAGTGAATTACAGATTCGTAAAGTAAGCATTTGGTACGTCACATTTCCGTAGAAATTTGGTCGACCGACTTGGTCATTGCTGAAATCGTATGTCTATCCAGCGGGACACGGGTTTTCCGGGAAGCTTTGAGGTACGTTTAAAATCCTTGAAGGTACACTATGATACACTATTGGTACATTCCAAAACACGTATCAACTTTGAAATTCGTTAAGTTTGTCCCGCTGGATAGATTGACGTTTAGGTTTTCATTGTTTCTGTCGCTATGACAGCCTTTAGAAAGCAACGACATCCCTCAGCTATTTAACCCGAGTCAGCTGTCGCGTACTCATTGTTAACCCGTACCAGGACCATTTTTTAAAATCTTTATTTAAGAGATTTTTAGCCATAGGCTAGTTCATCTCTTTGTCATGGGGAGGTCTCAGAAGGAGAACCTTGGAAACGGAGTTTTTGTTTGACAGAGTGTTTTAATTCTACTAACATTTTTGTTGGGTTGTTTGCTGCTATTCTGCGGGGGGACTCCGTCACGAAGGCCGACGGCTCATCCCATGTGGCATCCCACCGCCTGCTAAGGCTGTGGAGTACATCCTTCCTGGCTTTTCATAGGAAGAAGAACATTTAACATTAAACTGACGGCACCGTGACGAGGTCCAAAAGCTCATCCCGTGCGGAACCGTCCCGACACCAAAATAAAACTTACAAAAAGAAAATGACAAGGTACTGACTACTAACAAAAATCCGAACAAAACAGAGCTCAGCTGAATGGGTCCAAAAGGGGGCTACCATCCAGCAAAGATGTCCCGACGGCCGAAAGAAATTCTGCTATACTAAATGGTACAAATCTACTTCTTTGAGGAATGTGAAGAGAGCTGCAGATGCCGGAGTGTCGTCCCCAAGCAGGTCCCTGATGCTGGAGGTGAGATCGAAGGCAACCCGAAGATCCTGAAACTCTGGACAGTTACACAGGATGTGTTCCATTGTGTAGGGAGCGGCGCAGATGACACAGCTTCTACGGAACGAAAGTCCATCGTAGTTGTAGTACAGCTTGGTGTGCCTCGTCCGCAGTCGCGATATAACCCGTTGCTCTCTCAGGTTGTCCATTTCACTCCAGGCCTCGGTTGTCGGCGAAGCCAGAGCTTGAATGACACTGTGCGAGTCCGTTAGAATCAGAATGGGCTTGTTGGCCGGTATTGTTGCGGCACGGAAAATAGCGGCAGCCTCAGCCGAGAATACCGAGCATTGCGGAGGAAGACTGCTGTTTTCGTTCGTACCAGGACCAGATTTTTTTCAATAAGCTCGTTCTCAGCAATGTTACAAGCGATTTTCATAAACTTAAACTTTGATTGAAGGAAATCAGTGGATCTAACTTTTTACATAGGTAACGCCCCGCTAAACCGCTTCCCGCGTTCAAGAGAAGTAAATATGTCTGTTTTTTTTCGGTTTTTTTTTCCACAAGTATGATCAAATGCTATTTGTTGTCTGACGAATTGGTTATCTGGTGCATTGAATAATACCAGATAGATGAAATATAGAAAGTAGGAATGAATTCAGATGTTTCTACGATGTCTGGCCACGTTATTTTTGATTCCGGGAGTTATATAACCCGGATCTTTAAAACATAGTAATATTTTTGGAAGTCGTACCATGCAACTTGTAAAATCATGTCAAATATGACCATTTGAGGTGTATCTGGTGACATTTGGCCAGTTTAACATCGGCTCCGGGGTTCAAAAATTCGGTTTCGTGAATTCAAAAATAGTGTTATGACATTATTATGTTCAAAGTAGCCATATTATGGTGCATATCAAATCATGTCTAACTGACAATGGAGTCTCTGAAATCAGTCATCTGGCCTCGTTCACGTTGACATCGGTTTTGAGGGTCCTGGAATCCTTTTTTTTCCGTGATTTGTTTTTCGTCGATCTTGCTTTCCGTGCTGAGCACCAATGCTACCGACGCCAGGAAGGCAGCTCCCACACCTGGACCCTACCTATCAACCCATCAACTCATGAACCGGGAACCAACGGCTTTCCGAAGGAAGACGTGATCAGGGATGTTATGCCTCAAAACATCCCGGCGGCACCGACTGGGATTGACCACTACACCACCGGCACTGCTGGTCCTGGAATCCTATTTATCGCAATATTCGAGGCAAATGTAGCATGTTGCATGTCAAATCATATTAGAATAATGAGTGAGGTCAATGAAGACTATTTAAGGTTATTCCTTTGACATTAGTCCAAATTGACATCGGAGAAAACCATCCCAAGTAACAATCCAAATGTTAATTGGTTTTATTCATGTTTTATGGTGGTTTTATCAAAGCATGACTGAGTCTATGTGGTTTTATCATTGCTTTTTCAAGTAAACTTAGTCTC